TTAAGGCTGGTTAAAACTTTCTTCACTTTTTTTGGATATAATTAGACAGCAGTTTTCGTGGGTGCTTGTGCAAAAAAGAATAAAAGAAATCTCAACACAAAGTTCCACTCCCAAATGACTACAAACCTCTTTCGTTCAAACGCTTAATATAGAACCAAGCAGGATCTAAGCGTAAACGTCCAGACCTCGCCTCTTTGGTGCGGTTGTTCAATTCGCAGATCTTCTCCTTCCTGTTGTAGTTATAGCTTTGACAGGCGATTTCTCGTTCGCATCGGACATCACAGATATGGGGTGCTGATGCGGACATCCTTGAAAACACGAATCCTTCAAGTCTCATACCTTGAATGTTGATCTCTGTCCTGCACTGGCCATTGGCAGATGCGCAGTCCAGAATTGAAGCGAAGATTACGAGACGAATCATGTCTCCCTGCATTTTTCCTGATCAAAATATTTTAAGAATACTCAACGAAATGATGAGATATGCTTTCTTTTAACCCTTTACAACTCAGCATCAGTATGTATCTGCTTCATGCTGTTCCTTATACGTTTGGTCCAGCAACAACGCAGCGATACCTTCGGAAAGAAATTAGAAGCTAGTCACCCTTTGAAATCAAAGGATTAACGAAGGACTTGTATCTGCCAATTATAAAGCTGAGCTGTTTTCTGAAAAAAGTAAGATCGTTTAGTCTTGTAGTAATTGCCGGCCAGCTTTAATCGATTCAAAAAAGAAAAGAAGATTTAAAAGAAAATGCGGTTCCCCCCCACTCGCTCCTTCTTTTCCACTTGAATTATGGTTAGTTTCTGAGTTTAGTGACACCATTTACCGTTTGTGTGTTACAAATCTGAGATAAAAGGCTACTTGTGCACAACTCGATATCAAACTTTAGATCATTCGATTATTTTCGTGCATTAAAATACACTTAAGAATTAACATTTCAATTTAAAAAAAACCTCCATTGGCTAAGATGTTTGACTCCATACAATTCGTGCAGTTTCAACCATGGATATATAAAACCGTAAATCTGCATTGCGTTCCCTTGCAGCATTTTGGAAAATTTCTAGTCACTCCATGGTGTCCACAGATCAGTAATATGTCAAGGAAAAACGAATTACCTCAAGGACGTCAAGAAATTGGGAATTTACTTTCACTCAAAAAATTTACATATTTGAAAGAAGTCGGGGAAATGTGAAATTTTATGTAAACATGACGTCCTTCATCTTGTCATGGCCGTCTTCATGTGAAAGCTGGTGACGCTTTCCATTTGGCGATTTCGATATTACTCACGTACATTGCTTCGAAGTTGGGTGATTCCTGACTAGCACTTTCCCTCCTCTTTCCAATGGAAGTTCAAGTTGGTTTATGATTTAATTTTCAAGGCTTCTAACGTTTTAAATCTACGGTACATTTCACGGACTTGAAAGGAGTTGGATTGGTAAAATATTGTCTAAAAGATCATCGATCAATTTTCCATGTTACCTCGAGGATCTACCAAAGCGTGTACGTTTGACAACCTGAAAGCGTTGATTTATGGCTGGAGAAGATGGCATTTGTCATGGAGGATGGCATTTTTCATGGGGAATGCCAGGGAATTGCAAAAATCGTAACAATAATGCAATCATGCTCTCATTTCGTTTGCAAGAGTACTTATAGAAATCTTGATTATACGAGCAATTCCACCTTATTATACACTTCTCAGGGAAATAATTTGTGGCACAGATCAACGGAATCGAAGAAATTTTTAACA